ATCCCATTTATTTCCCCCCACCGAAACTCCCCTACCCCCTTCAGCTTTGTTTCGCTTAGGGCCAGGACATCCAACTTCTCTTCATTCATAACATCAGCAATCATCTGTTTCTTGTCATCCGCACTACATCCACGCACATTTAAGCATCCCAGAAGGATAAATTCACCATCATTTATTCTCTCTCTATCTTTTAGAAGTGCATGGACATCACAATTTAAATGTTTACTATTTTATTAAACAAGGGTGTTAACCCTTTGAGGGTTTCGGCCGTACTAGTATGGCTTACGACCCAGGGTTTTTGACGTACTAGTACGCCTAAATTCTAGCGCCCTCAAATCTAGTGGGAGAAAGCTGGTAGGCATACATATGAAAGAATGGGTCTATGTGGTCAGTGTGCGCAGTATAAAAAAAAATCCTGCAGCACACAGTGCATAATGAGAAAAAAAAAACTTTGACCATGTTTTTGGAATAAAACAGCGACTTCGCACTGTATTTTCGTATGGTATTTATTGTTGTATTCTAGTTTTCTTGGCCTCATTTTATAGAATGATGGAAGACATATTACAGAAATTGAGATGATTTTGACTGGTTTTACAATGAAAAGTACCTTGAAATTGAGCTCAAAGTAGCAGAAATGTTCGATTTTTACCAAAGTTCAAAAGTAAACAAATCATGCCAAGCATCCAATACACGTCAACTGGTGAGTCTAATATTCTTTCACAAGTGTGCTGATATTATTTATACCATTTCTACATTAATGCAGCAGTCTGCATAACAGTAAATTTTCTATTTTTTGTAAGAATAAAAATTGAAAGTGTAAAGCCAAAGAAATATAAGAGGGGCCTGGGGATGTGACTAACGAACAGAGGAAATGTTATTCCATAATACCAACTTACCTCATAATTTGTAATATTTTAAAATAAAGAATTAAACTAAGTCTGCCCGAAATGCCTAGCCATGCTAGGCGTTCTAGTGGTACACTCTGTAATCATTATTTAACTACATGCAAACCACACAACAACCAAATTCTGTAAATTCAACATTGTAATCTTTATAGAGAATAAACTTTGAATTTGAATGTGAATTTGAATTGAATTTGGCATCTTTTGAAATTTGTGTGAAATTGGCAAAATTGCTAAATTCTGACCACTGTATTGGATAGTTGAAATCAGTAAATGGGTGGTTTCTTGTTCTCATTCAATAGAAAAAATGGAGTTCTAGAGAAATTGTTAGGATTTTTGTCGACTAGTACACTGGAATTGGCCGAAAATAGGGCTCAAAGTGGGCAAAATCGCCGATGCGTAAACATCGTCGAGACCGCTAACTTCGCGAAAGCATAATTCCCTAAGTTTTCCATCAAATTTCATACTTTTGGTGTCATTATGATCGGGAAAAGATTCTCTATCTTTTCATAAGAAAAAATAATTTTTTTTTATAAATTTGGCCGACCCTGAGAACAAGTCTCGGAGAGGGCCTGTCGACCCTCAAAGGGTTAAAGGTTTTCCATAAAAGTGTTTTTACACTGTTCATCTAATTAACATTTTTAAATTTGTAAACATACAGTATTTACAAGAAGGCTGGAGACAGTGGGGATGTCATGTCTGCAGGCAGTGTGTGGTGTGAATATAATGCAAAAAAATCTGTAGTTTGGAAATTAGGAGAAGTGCGAGATTACTAAAAGTGTTATCCAGAGGGCTGAAGAGGGGTTGTTGAGGTGGTTTGGACAATTAGAGAGGATGGAATGAAATAGAATGACTTGGAGAGTGTATAACTCTGTAGTGGAAGGAAAGCAGGGTAGGGGTCAGCCTAGGAAAAGTTGGAGGGAGGGGATAAAGGAGGTTTTGTGTGCAAGGGGTTTGGACTTCCAGCAAGCATGCATGAGCATTTTAAATAGGAGTGAGTAGAGACAAATAATTTTTATGTCTTGGCATGCTGTTGGTTGCCCTGAAGGGATTCAGGTCAACCAGTAAGACGGACTTGAGTTCTGGAGGTGGGAAGTACAGTGCCTGTGCTCTGAAAGAGGGGTGTTGATATGTTGCAGATTTTTTAATTGTAGTGTAGGTGCACCTTCTGGTCACCTTGCCTTGAGAAATGGCTGATGTGTTAATAAAAATAAGTGTTTACTATACTAATAATTCTATCAGGATTCTTATCTTATATTTCTTTTCATTACAGTAAATAATAATAATAATAATAATAATAATAATAATAATAATAATAATAATAATAATAATAATACAGTAGACTGTCATTTAACGTGGTTTTGTTTGGCATGTTTTGGTTATAGCACTATTGAAGAATTGCCAACTTTTATGTACAAAAAGGCTTCTTAAATATTGTCACCAATTATTGCAACACTCTTTAACAAATCCATTGAATCCTCCACCTTCCTGGCAATTCTCAAAATAGTGAGGGTCACCCCAATCCACAAAGGTGGTGACCAAGCTGACTTGAATAACTATAGACCAATATCTGACTTAATTCGTAGACAGATCTGTTCCTACCTCGTCTCACACAACATACTAAACCCCTGTCAGTTTGGATTCAGGAATAATAACAGCACAAATGATGTTGTCATACACATGCTAGAACTAATGTACATTTACCGCTCTCGAGAAGAAAGAAGTCCCGCTGGGAATTTTCAATGATTTTACCATGAATTGCTGCATACAGAATTAATGCACTGTGGTATAGGGAGCCCACTCCCTCAACTACCTAAAGTTGCCAATATGTGTACACAAATGGTGCACTCTTCCACTCAACCAATAACAGTAGGAGTCCCACAGGGAAGTATCATTGGACCACTCCTCTTTCTCATTTACATCAATGACCTACCGAAGGCATCACAGCTAATCAAACCCATATTATTTGCAGATGACATAACATACATCTTCTTCATAAGTTCTTCAGTTTGTCTAACACGGTTTTAACTACCACAGCATTTTCAGGAATGTAACTGCCGTGTTAACCCTTTCAGGGTTAGTGCCGTACTAGTACGGCTTACGTGCCAGTGTTGGTGCCGTAGTAGTATGCATAAATTCTAGAGTCCTCAAATCAAGCAGGAAAAGGCTGGTAGTCCTGGATGTGAGAGAATGGGTCTCCATGGTCAGTGTGCGCAGTATAAAAAAAAATCGGGGACCCAGTGGTGCATTGTGGGAAAGCCATTTTATTACACCTTGTTCATCATGTCTAGCAGTAAGAAACTCCTCACTCCTCGGCTAATTGGGGCTCTTTTGTTCACAAGTGACAGTTCAAACACAGATGGAAGTGTCAGTGAAGATGAATTTCATGGTTTTGAGGAGTTTGTGACCGAAAGGTCACAAACTTCTTAAAACCATGAAAGAAAGGGAGGAAAGAAGGAAGGGATGAGAGAAAGGAAGGAAGAAAGGAAGGGATGAGAGGAAGGAGGGAAGGAAGGAGGGAAGGAAGGAAGGAAGGAGGGAAGTAAGGAAGGAGACCATCAACCTAGGATAACTCAAAAAATTCAGACAGTGACTTATTTCCATGTGGGTTGGTGGGGTGGGGAGGAAGGGACAGGTGTTGACAGGCAGTGAGGGTGGTGAGTGGTGGTGTTATTTGCCATTGTGACACTAATTATGCCAGTGACTCAGCATATTTACAAGTCTGACCCCCACACAACAACTACAAGCTTTACAGAAGCTGTAGCAGTTCTCGGAAGTGTCCTGTGACTTAATGTGTGTATATATGTGATAGAAAAATAGTAACAAACAACATTTTTTATTGTTGGTTTGTGTAAACATGTTTTGTAAACAATATAATAAGTTTGTGCAGTTACTGTGTACCAGACAATGAGTGAATGTACATTCAATATACCTTATATTGGTCTCACAGGCCAGAAAAGTTACTTGAAGGAAGGAAGGAGGGAGGGAAGAAGGGATGGAAGGAAGGATTGAAGGAAGGAAGGAGGGAAGGAAGGAAGGAAGGAAGGAAGGAAGGAGGGGAAGAATGGAGGGAGGGAAGAAAGGAGGGAGGGAAGAAAGAAAGGAGGGAGGGAAGGAAGGAGGGAGGGAAGGAAGGAGGGAAAGTAGGTAGGAAGAGATGAGAGGAAGGAGGAGGGAAGGTAGGTAGGAAGAGATGAGAGGATGGAATGAAGGAAGGAAAGGAAGGAAGGTAGGTGTGTGGGGAGGTAGGGATGTGTTGTGGAAGGCAGTGAGGTTAGTGAGTGGTGGTATGATGCATCATTGTGACACACAACACACTGGTGACTCGGGATATTTACAAGTCCACCCCCACACAACTACAAGCTTTCAGAACCTCTTGTAGTTATGGGAACCTGTCCAATGACTCTATATGAGTATATATTGATAGAAAAATAGTAATAAACAACAATTTTTATTGTTAGTTTGTGTAAACATGTTTTGAAACAATATAATGACAGCAAAGTTTGTGCTGTTATTGTGTAGTATACAATTTATTTATTTATTTAGAAATGAGTGAATATATACCAAATAGTGTTTATATTGGTCTCAGAGGCCATAAAAGTTACTTGAAAAAATAAAATATTAAAAAATAAAAGGAAAAAGTAGAAAAAAAACAAACTATTACCGGGTGACCGGCATTCGCCGATGTTGCCGTATGCAGTTCATTTTCTGTCAACTTCACGCCTCCATATTTCGGTAAGTATTGATGGCATTTTTTTTTTTTAGCCTATAAAATTTAGAAAAAATAACTCTTTTCATAAGAAAAAATATTGTTTTTTTTTTTTCGAATATTTACCAACCCTGAAAACAGGTTTGGGAGAAGGCTTGCCGACCCTGAAAGGGTTAAACAACAGTCTACTGTATATATTTCTACAAGTACGTGATATAGCTTATACAGACTTAGCTGACATCAGTGACATACTCATATTTCTTTATTGTTACAAACCATGCAATGAGAAGGGGAGAAAAAAAGTTTTGTAATCTAAATATGAAACCGAATAAATAATGGTATTGTGCAAATGTATTTTCAAGACTGGTTAATTGGAATTTCTTTTGCAGATACATTCACTGTTGACCAGGCAGTTAATGCACTAGGATTTGGCAAATTTCAGGTACAGTATAAACTAGCATTTGTTAAGTGCTGTGAAAATGGCTTATCACTTGTCACATTGTTCTTTTAAAAAAATATGATATATACTTTAACCCTTAAACTATCCAAATGTAGATCTACATTCACGTGTGTAGCGCTCCAAATGTGGGTCTACTGTTTTTTGCATGCTTTCAAATGGAGAAAATGAAGGTCGGAGCACTACTCACGAGAATATAGATCTTTGCTTGGACAGTTTAAGGGTTAATAATAATGTGTTACAGCAATTCTTTATTCATAAATGGTTGTGGTTAAAGATAAAGATAAGATAAAGGTTTATTTCTTCATAAACATTACAATGTGTAATTACAATTTTGGTTTGCTAAGTACAAAGAAAGCCACTATCATGCCAGTGCATTTCGGGCAGACTAATCTTAATACATCATAACTACTTAAAACTAGACAAGAAATAGTACATAGTAACTACAGCCTCTCCTCACTTAGCAATGTACTCGTTTACTGACGACTTGCACTTACGATGGGGGCTCTGACCAGTATGTATTCCTAAATAATGTATATTAGAGCTGACTTCCTCTGTTTATTACAGTATACAGTACACTACTGTATAAACATTTAAAAACATACCAGGAATGTTATAAGTAGTGCAAAGGTGGAATTAAAACAATATCATAGATGGTTGTCACAAACCCACTGTCATTATAGTATGCTCCTCACTTGGCGATGAATTCATTTATTGACATGGTCTTAGGAATGAAACTCCGTCGTTATGTGAGGAGAATCTGTACTTAAAACTAGACAAGAAATAATGGTTAACTGTACAGTGAACCCCTGACTTATGAAGGCCTCATCTTATGATAAAATCGACTTAAGAAGCGTTTCAGCGTAAAAAAATTTCCCCATCCTACAAAGAAAAAACCATACCCCCGGCCGGGATTGAACCCGCGGTCATAGAGTCTCAAAACTCCAGCCCGTTGCGTGTCATTGCAATCGTGTCATTACGATTTCTTAAGTCAGTTACAAAGGAAAACTCGACTTACATCATTCGTCCCGAACACGATCCGTCTGGCCAGAGTGCCTTAGCTCAGCTAGTGCTATTGTTTACAAGCCAGGGCAGATGGTTGCATGCATACATTTGATAAATTTTGTATTATTCCATTGTTTTTAGTGCATGTAACTGCTAAATAAGCCATGTAACTGCTAAATAAGCTTCTAGTGCCAACCCTGTGATAAAAAGGGTGAGAAATACTATCATACCACGGTCAGCTGCTGCTGCACCACCGTCAGCTGTAGCTGCACCATGGTCAGCTGCTGCTGCTGCTGCTATACCATGGTCAGCTGCTGCTGCTGCTTTACCACGGTTATCTGCTGCTGCACCACCGTCAGCTGTTGCTGCACCACCGTCAGCTGTTGCTGCACCACCATCAGCTGTTGCTGTACCATGGTCACCTGCTGCTGCTGCTGTACCATGGTCAGCTCCTGCTGCTGCTGTACCACGGTCAGCTGCTGCTGCTGGTGTACCACGGTCAGTCGTTGCTGCACCACCATCAGCTGTTGCTGCACCACCATCAGCTGTTGCTGCACCACCGTCAGCTGTTGCTGCTCCACCGTCAGCTGGAGAGACTGTTGTTGGTGTGGCTTAATGAGAAACAATTACCGAGAAACAACCCCAGAGGGTTAGCCACCCAGGATAACCCAAGAAAGTCAGTGCGTCATCGAGGACTGCCTAACTTATTTCTATTGGGGTCCTTAACCCTTTCAGGGTCTGTCCCGTAGATCTACGGCTTCACGTTGAGTGTCCAAACCGTAGATCTACGCCAAAATTCTAGCGCCCTCAAATTTAGCACGAAAGCGCTCATAGGCCTACATGTGAGAGAACGGGTCTGCCTGGTAGGTGTGCGCCATAAACAAAAAATCTAGGCGCCCGCATAGCATTGTGGGAACACCGGCTCAGTTACCCTTGTTCACCATGCCTTGTCGCAAGTCAGCTCTCACTCCCCGGAAAATTGGGACTCTCCTCTTCCTATCTGATAGTTCTGACACTGATGGAAGTGGAAATGAAGACGAATTCTACGGCTTTGATCAGTTAGTGACCGAAAAGAATGACCAGGATATCGATAATAGTGCAGAAAACCCTGACGATCCTCAACCTTCTACCTCTGGTGTGGGCACTCGTGACTCACGGTCGGTTGTGCCTCAACGCAAGAGAAAACTAATATTTCATGCGAGTGAACAAGACAGATGTGTGTGGCACAGTGCATTCTAATCGTAAACATATGCCCAGGCTCAACGCAGGTGCTCGTGGTGATGACGGGCAGGTGTTTACTGCCAATGACATCATGGCATTACGGTGGCATGACAAACGAGATGTCACATTGTTGACAACCATTCACCGTAATGAAATGCAAGACAGTGGCAAAGTTGATCGAGTGACTAATGAACGTATTCGAAAACCAGTGACAGTGATTGATTATACACAAAACATGCGCTTGGTTGACAAATGTGACATGCAGATTGGTTTTGTTGACTGCGTTTGTAAGAGTTACAAGTGATACATGAAACTTTTCTTCCATCTCATGGACATTTCAATGCTCAATGCCTATAATATGTACCAAATAAAGACTGGCAACAGACCACCGTATGGTGAATTTTGTTTGTCTGTTGTCAGACAACTCATAATGAAGTACCAGGTAAGAACACCTTCTATACAACAAGGTCCTCGAATTACTCAGGATATACCCAAGCGTTTGAGGAGGGAAGGTGATCATTTCATAATACAGCTTCCTTCAACTCAGAAGAAATTTGCTCAGAAGAGATGCATCGTCTGTGCACAAACAAAACGATGGCAACAAAGACGCTAAGACACTCGGGTTTATGTGTGAGGAATGTAAGGTGCCTCTGTGCATGGTGCCTTGTTTCAAGGAGTTCCACAAGCTCCAGCAGTTCTAAAATCATGTCCAGTGATTGTAAATATGTAAATATATGATAGAACATTAGTATTATACAAGATTTGTGCATGTTTATTGTAATAAACAACAGTGGTAAACAATAATATGATAATAACTTTAGTGCGGTTATTGTGTTCAATACAGTGAGTTTATATATATACATTATATACAGTATTGGTCTCTCAGGCCCCAAATGTAAGTAGGAATAGAAAAAAATTGGAAAAGAAAAGAAAAAACTATAAAAACCGCTAAATAATGTAATGCGCGTATGTGGAATTCGTCGATGTTGCCGCCACCACATCATTTTTGACAAACTTCTTGGCACTGTATATCGGTAAGTACTGATCAGAATTTTTTTTTTGTCTTATTACCTTCACAAAAATATGCTCTTTAATTCTGTTAGAAAATTTTTTTTTTTTTTTTTTTTCAAAATTTCTTGGACACTGGAGCACCACTTCAGATTTTGGCCTTGGACCCTGAAGGGGTTAATCTTGTTCCCCAGGATGTGTCCCATGCTAGTCGACTAACATCCAGGTGAACAGGAAGAAATGCCTGAAACTAGTGCTCATATTGGTGAATTTAAGGCCAGCAAAGTTTGGCTTGAGAGATTTAAGAATCATAGTGGCATACACAGTGTGATAAGGCATGCTGAAGCTGAAAAATTCCAACCCCCAACAAGTGTTTAATTGTGACGAAACAGGCCTGTTCTGGAAGAAAATGCTAAACAGGACCTGCATTACTCAGGAGGAAAAGGCACTCCCAGGACACAAGCCTTTGAAAGACAGCCTAACTCTCATGTTTTGTTGTAATGCTAGTGGGGATTGCAAAGTGAAGCCTTTACTCATGTATCACTCTGAAAATCCCAGAGTGTTCAAGAAAAACAGTGTATCATCACTCATCAGTACATCTTCAATAAAGGTAAGTGTCATTTATTCTTCATTTAGTACAGCATATTGTGCATATATCCTTCTTTTTGTGTGTAGGAAAACGTATATTTCATATGATAAAAAAAAATATTTGTTCATTCTTTTGGGTGTGTGGAATGGATTAATTGGATTTCCATTATTTATTATGGGGAAAATTAATTCAACTTACAATAATTTCATCTAACGATGAGCTCTCTGGAACGGATTAATATCATAAGGCAAGGGTCCACTGTATTACAATCTTATTTAATCTTATATGTACTAATGTGAGGTAGTCAAGGTGGAGGTTTATAAGTATAATAATCTTGAGGTTGCACATAGCAAAAACAGTATTAAAAATAATGGTTCAGGCAGTAATATTTCATGGATTGGCAGAAATTAAAAGCCTAGAGGTCATTTAATATAACTAATTAGCAGATGTTTTGGTTTATTTGGTTAATATTGAGAGAGAAAATGACCTTTTAGCAAAATCCTAAATTTACAAGTAGTTATGGGATCCTTTACCAGTTCTGGTAGTGAGTTCCTGATCTTCAGGCCCTTTATGTGCATGGCATTTTCACATAGTGTGAGACTGACATGAGGGATGTTGAAGAGTACCTTATGCCTTGTATTGACATGGTGTGTATTCTGTTGTAACTGTCAAGTAGTAGTTTAAGTGGAGGGTTTATAGTGGAATTTAATGTTCTGTGTATGTAGTAGGCACAATAATGTGAGTGTATGTCTTGTATATTTAGCAAGTTCAGTCTTTTGAAAAGTGGTGGGGTGTGTTGTCTAGCACAGGACCTGGTAATCATCCGCACAGCAGCTTTTGGTTAGGTTATTAAAGGTTTAAGGTGGGTGGCTGTGATTGGTCCCTAGGTACAAAATACCATAGGTGAGGTAAGGATATATTAAAGTGTGGTATAGGGCAAGGAGTGTCATTTGTGGTACATAGTATCGTAGTATGTTGGAAAGGATGCCTACTGATTTGGAAATTTTCTTGGGTATGTGTTGGATATGGGAATGAAATTTAAGATTGCAGTCAAGAGGAAGACCTAGAAATTTACCCTCAGTGTGTCTTGATATGGGGAAACCATTTATTGATATATTAAGCTGGATATTTAACCCTTTGAGGGTCGACAGGCCCTCTCCGA